GTTTGAATCTGATATTTTGACTGAAATTTTGACTTAGTCCTTCAACTTGTCTACACCACCATCAATTTTCAAACTAGTGACAAAAAAAAAAAAAACACCTCTGGATTCATCTTTCTCTATAATCTTTATTTTCCTCAGCCCCATTAAAAAATTAATTTTGCATTTATTATATCTTGCTTTACTGCAGGCACCTCTAAACTACCATAAACAAGTGGTCACTGAAACAAAGACTTCACTGAAAGCAAAGAAAGCATACTCTACCCAGTGTCCTGCTTTCCAAGATACTTATCCAGTTCTTAGGATGGCAAAATTTTCATCTGTGGCTTTTGTTCCACCCCACCACTCTCTGCAATGCCATGGATGGGCTCCCAATGTGGTTTAGTGTTCAAAATCAGAAAGTAGAATAAAAGAAGACTACTACTACTACTAATATATTGCTTTTAGATAGAAATGTAAGTTTGAGAAACGTTTTCATACACATTGTCACATTTAGTCTCAAATTTAGTGTCAACTGTCAACTGTAAGGTCAGCAGGAATGGCACTATCATTTCCATTATTAATATGAAGAACACATATCCAAGGGTGTGAAAAAATAGCAAATCTGGGGCTCAAGAAGATTCCTGTGTGTTAGGCACTGCTTCCGTGAAATTACAAAGAATGTAGATATCAGATATAGTTCCTTCCCCCAAGAAGTTCATGATCTAGTGCTGGGTGTAGATTTGTAAACCAGCAAGTGTAACACAGCATGGAAAGGTCCCACCACATACATAGGAGGTTGCATAGGAAAAGGCACAACAAACTCTACCAGCAAGAGAGAGCTGTGGGAAACCTTATAAAGGAGGCCATCTTTGGATTCTTTGAAGAATGAGAAGATTCTAAATAGTGTAGGAAAGAAAAGCAGAAATAGGAGGAAGTTGTTCCAAGGAAGAAAATATGTGTGCAAAGGCACAGAGATAATCAAAGAACTGGAAGTCTATGCACAGGAGACAGCACTAGATGACAAAGGGCACTGAGGACTTTGACTTTGTCTTACAGCAAGTGGTAAATCACTAAAGGATTTAACCAGGGAAAAGATGAGATCAAATTTGAATTCAAAAACATTTTGAAAGTAGAGAGGAGGATATATTTCTAAGGAAGAGGGAGATCGTGGGCAAAATCCCAGGCAAGAAATGATTCTGGACTAAAATTAAGGCAAGGATAGCAGGAATGGAGGAGACGGGATATGTCTGAGAGACATTTCACTGGGAGAACAAAAGTAGGGTTCATGTGCTGGAAAACTTAATTCCCAATGCAACAATGTTGAGAGGCAGAATCTTTAAGAGGTGATTAAGTCATGAGGGCTCTACTCTTATGAATGGATTAATGCCATTATACCAGGAGTGTATTAGTGATTTTGGAAGGGGGTCCTGAGAAAAAGGATGAATTTGGCCCCCTTGTTGTCTCTTTTGTGCTCTTGCTATGTGATGCCTTCCACCATGGGATGACACAGCAAGAAGGTGCTCACAAGATATGTCCCCTTGCTTTTGGACTTCCCAGCCTCCAGAACTGTGAGCCAAATAATTTCTATTGCTGATAAATTACCAAGTCTATGATATTTTGTTACAGCAGCACAAAACAAATTAAGACCATTGTCTTTTGGATATAGGTGATGCACATAAGGAAGAATTCCGGATGGATTCCAGATTTTGAACTCATCAAAATTGGATGATGGTAATAACTTTAACAATGAGGGAAAGAAGCAGATGGGTAAGGGAGTGGGGAAGAATGGGAATCAGAAAGAGGAGGTAACATGTTTGGTTTTGAGCAGTCCTTATACGCTGAGCTTTTCATGTATTCATGCAGAACTGGTGACATTTGAGCTGGAGATATGAAATCCATTTTACTGATGCCAGAGGGAGGAACGTGATGAACCATGGAGAGAATGTTGAGTAAGCGGTAACAGATAGGAAAGGAGGTGGATATCACCCTCATTTAAGATTGGCAGAAAAAAGCAACATAATGAATGCAGAGAGGGAGAAAGAGAACAGAAGAAAGTGCTGTCAAGGAATCCAAGAAATATTTTTGAGAAGGAAGAAGAAGAAAGAACAGATGGTCGTGAGGGTCAAATGCTACACCCATGTGTTAGCCAGATCTGGCACCAGAAGAGCTGTGTCCCTGCCACTGGCTGTGTCCATTGTGTGGTGGGGGGAGCTGCCAGGCAGGGTGGTAGGACTGGGAATGAATGCAAACAATGGGAGACGAGGAGAATTTTGCCTGTGAAAAGAAAGGAGAGAGAGGTGATTGCAACCCAGGAAGATGGTGCTTCTTAAATTTTAATGTAGGAGCAAGATTTGACCATGTTGGCAAATGAAGGGCAGCCAACGATGATGGAGAATGAGTAGAGACTTACTGGGGAGCCTCACTGTTCCCCAATATTCTCTCTTTTTAACCCAATAGTGTGAATAATCGCCACTATTCTAAGGTATCTTCCATCAGTCCTTTCATCGTTGAGCTGAGAAAGGGCATTTGTGCTTTGGAAGGAATGTGCAGGTAGAATAAGACCTTTGCTGTGAGGATGGTTTGCTTAGGGTTAAATGCAGCTTATACTGTTAGGAACTTGTTTGTACAAATTTTGGAAGACCATTTGCTTGCACTGAGACAAAGTTCTTCCTCTATATAGTTCAGGGGTGACCATGACAATTTTTTTGCCCCATAAGAGGCAGTTCTGCCTGCATCCTATGTAGCATCCCAGAGGTCTTAGACACCCCTTGAGGGCTGGAGGAAAGCCAAACCCTGTAACACACTGGGCTAGGCTAGCAAGTTCCACGTGCCATTGCCGCTTGTCTAATCCTGAATATGGAAGGGTTCAGGTGGCACCTACTGGAAACTTAATAAAACTTTTGTTTACATTTTTCCCCCAAAGTACAAGACAAGAAGACATTAGCCAGCATGCAGACTTTAACTATCTTCTTCTATTTAGCGTCTATTAATTCTCAGAGTAACTTTTCTCCTAAGTCAGTGAATGGTGAGATTTTCACATTCTCTTAAAACAACTTTGCATTAGAATTCAGTCTCGTATTGCATCCAAAATAAACTTACATATTTAAAAAAGCAACCTGTTATTAATAGAACCTTCCTTATTTTTATATCACTGAATATTTTTACAACTTAGAAATATTTATTGAAAGAGTTGGTGCGTGTCTTGACATCTTTATAGGCTAGACAGTGCTTAGTACATAGTAGGACTGAATAAATATTTGTTGAATGAATGAAGAGTAAACAGAATAAATTAACAGTGAACATTTTGGCCACTAGAGAAGAACAGGCTGGGAAAGAGCTATTGTCAGTTTCACAAAACCTGTCAAGAGCAGCAAATCACAATAAAATACAAAACACACACACACACACACACACACACGCACACACTATCCAGTTCTATAAACGGGAGACAATTAAGGACCTACACAGTGACCTTCTAATAAATGCTAACCAAACTAGTCTTGTTCATTTCAGAGATTCTTACCTGTCAAAGCCTAAATTCAGGGCTCTACAAACCACTTCCTCCTGTATGAAGCCTGATAATAAATGTTAAAAAAAAAAAAAATCCAGACATCAGCACAGACCCCACACCACAGGAGGGTCCTCTGTCAATCTCTCCCACTTCCTCTCCTCTACAAAGACCTCAGAAGTCAAAAGCTGGACTGTCAATATCAAAAAATCTAAATATATTGCATTTTACCCTCCCCAACAAGCCAAGCATCTTTGCAAACAGAGCAATGAGCTTTGGCATTCTCGAAGCACAACTGTGAACACAGCAGTAACTCAAGGTAAAACAACCTTGTGAAACAGGTCACCAGCAGAGCAGCTTGTGGGCAAGCAGAGCAGCTCTGTCACCTGAAGCAAACACTGCTTCACAAAGCCGTAGCGTGGAGTCCATTGACAACTGTGAGGATCTCCTAATAAGTTGTGTACATAACTAGAATAAAGGCAACATCCACTCATATCTCTTGCTGTTTTCATTAAAATGGCTATTTTGTTTATAGCTTATCCATGTTATACATGCAATTTTTAAATGAAATCATGCAATAAAACAAGAATTTGGCTGGAATGTTGCTAATCTTGGATGAGTTTCAGCTGAGGGTGCCAAGGGCCTCTGTGCTCCCTGGACAACGGGGCCCTTATCCTTGGGATACAAGTCAGGTCTCCATGTAAACCCCAGAAAACCCACCCAGGGCTTCCTTCAGTGAGGGGGCCCTGACCGATGTCTTCTGAAACACTGGGCCCCGGGCACTTGTCAAGTGCTTACTCAAGAAATAGATTTAAAGAAGTCCTGTGGTGTTCAGAGTCCAGTGAGCAACAACATCAAAAATAAAACAAAAATAAACAAAACCACACACACACACACACACACACACACACTCTACATATAACCAGGTTGATGACCTGCATATGTTTGTGGTAGGGCAGGTTAAATGAAATTGGAGCTAATAAAATTCTATTTGGAGGCTAGAAATAAAATTCTATTTGGAGAAATAAAATCTTTAGTAAATTGGACATATGTGCAACAATATTTATTGCAGCCCTGTTTATAGCATCAAAAAACTGGAAGCAACATAAGTGTCCATCAATAGGAGATAAAATGAATAAAATGTGGTGTGGCTACACCTCTACACCACAGAATATTATGCAGCCAGCACAAAGAATTAATTAGAATATACCAGTTGACTTAGTAAGATTTCTAGGAAGTGCTATTGATTAAACCAAGATACAGGAAATATATATAATATCCTTCTTTTTGTAAGACCAACCATAACCCAAAAGCTACGTGTACACACATGTTAACAAGTATCCCTTTCTCTACAAACCCTCTTGTTCTTCAGTTCAGATAGCAAGTTCAGATGGTGAAATTGTATAGGGCAAGGGGCACCTACATGTGTGCAAGTCTATGTAGATGTATTTATATTTGTAAATCAGTAAGCAATATTATGCAATCCCACATTTTTACATTTTTAAAATGTTTGCATAGACACATATAATAAATTTCTAAATACAATTTTATAAAGGAAGAAATGAAACCGGTGAACTGCTTTAAATTTTTTGGACTTCTTAATTTTATTATTTTTAAATTTTGTTTCAGTAGTTTAATTTTATTTCAATGGTTTTTGGTTACATGGATAAGTTCTTTAGTGATGATTTTTCAGATTTTGATGCACTTGTCATCCCGTTTTAAATGAATATGACTTGGGTTCTTCTGGTATTTTTATTCCTGTAAAATAAACAGTGTCTGTACGTCATTAATTAGAAAAGTGTTCGACACAGGGTATGGATTGCATCGTCCTCAGAAAACCCGTCAGAAGGAGGTGCAGGTAAGGAAATGATGTGCCTGGAGGTGCAGTCACTTTTTTAAGTTTACACAACTCCTAGCCTGAAGGACTGGATTTGTAACCTGAGGTTGCCTGACTCCAAAACCCTTTGGGCTACTCACAGGAGCCTCCCACAGTCCTTGTTTTTGTCTCTGCCTTAAGACCTCCGTGAAGAATCCCACAGAGCCAAGCTCCAGCAATGGAATTCTTTGCAACTGATCACTTTGATTTCTCCAAAACACCCACCCCAAGTTCTTGGGCAGCAGAAGAGGTCATAGGACCCTCAGCTCTCAACATTCCCACATCTGTGTGATGGGGGCAATGGGTAAACCTTACACCATGACAATGACTAAGCCTTTAAATTGGAGCGTTCCCAAAACTGAGCACATGAGCCTTGCTTGTTTTATTATTCCAGAATTTTTTACTAGGTGTCTGCTTTGCATTCAGAATAAAGATTCTTTCAGCAATATGTGGTAGTGCCTTCAGTACATTTCCAGGCTGTAGCACCTAGACTCAAATTCGTATTAAACTGGATCTTTACAGACAGGGTTGGCCCAGATAAACTTGGAAAAAGGAGCACTGTGTTAAAACACGTGCAGTGGAAACTAATCAAGGGCGCGTACAGACGTGGGTAGCTGCTTGCCAACAACCAGGCCGAGGATAAAGTAGTATCAAGGAAAATCAACCAAGACTGTTTCATATTAGAAGGTGGAACCGCCTGGAAACAACATGCCCTCTCGGAAAATTCCCGCCATGCTCTGGCTCTGTGTTTCATGGTGATCCATCTCCCGGCACAGCCTGGCGTTCTGTGGGCTCCCCTTCTGTTCACACTGGCAGCGTTGGTGCACGTGGGAGTGCAATCACGGTGCTCATGTCCGCATTTCCTCGGCTGCCTGGAGCCCACAGAGCACTCCTTCCTGGGGGTGCTGCTTCTTTCCTTGGAGTGTTCCGTCCTGTGCCTCCCTATGAATTCTCTCCAGAGCGCCTGCCTGCGCCTTCCAACCTCAGCTGACAGTCCCATTTTTAAAAGGTCTTGAATAAAGTGAAATGTGATTAGTTGTGGGAAATGAACCAATGATATGCACAATTCAGCAGCCTTTATCACTGATGAAATCCAGAAATAAAGGTAATTTTCTCCAACTTTTGGTGCTATAGTAGCCATGTTTCTATGAAAAACACTGGTAGAACTTAAATTGTTTCATCTCCATAGTGCCTTTAGAAGAAACATAATCCACCATCAACTTCAGGACTGCTGACCGCACACTTCAACACTTCTTGGTGTAGAGCGCGGTAGGGGAGGCAATACAGAGAGAGAAGAGCTCAGACTCTGAAATCTCTCCGGGATTTGTGCCCACATCTCACACTCGGTACTCTGACCTTAGGCAAGTTACTGATACTTCTAGGTTCCATTTCCTTGAATAAATGGAGTATAGTAACATTTACACACCCCGTAGGGTTGTTGAAAGGATTAAACGAGATGATACCAGTAAAACACTTAGAACGATGGTTGGCAGATGGGAGTGCTTAGTAATTTATTAATACTATATCCGAAGGAAAAAAATTGACTTGGGCCTTTCTGAAATCAATAAAAATGTGTTTCTATGGATGTTAAGGCCTTGTCTTCAAGAGGTGGAGAGACTCCCTCCATGAGCTCTCTGTCTAAACCAGACAGACTGCAGCCATTTGAAAACACTCCCTGCCTCTTGGCCTTCCCACAGAGCCCACCTGACATCATTTGGATATTTGTCCCCACCCAAATCTCATGCTGAATTTTAATCTGCAATGTTGGAGGTGGGACCTGGTGGGGGATGTTGGGATCACGAAGGTGGATCCCTCATGGCTTGGTGCTGTCTTCCTGATAGCATTCTCATGAGATCTGGTCATTTAAAAGTGTGTAGCACCTCCCTCCCCCACTCTCTCTTGCTCCTGCTTTTGCCATGTGATGTGCCTGCTCTCCCTTTGCCTTCCGCCATGATTGTAAGCTTCCTGAGGCCCCCCTAAAAACTGAACAGATGCCAGCACCATGCTTCCTGTACAGCATGCAGAGCTGTGAGTCAATTAAACTTCTTTTCTTTATAAATTTCCCAGTCTAAAGTGTTTCTTTATAGCAATGGAAGAATGGCCTAATGCACCACCCTTCACCTGTAGAGCCATCCCCATCTCCGGCCATTTCACCCCTTCTTTAAGAGCAGACCCAAAGATCCCCATCACCAAGGTCTTCCCTGGGCACTTCAGGGGCAGAAGCCACTTGGGATGCACCTGGCTTCCATCATTGCTCCTATCTGTATAGCCATCATTTCATGATGCCATCCGGACTGTGATTCCTGGACGTGACTCTGCCCCTCAGGCATGACTGCCAAGTACCTTCAAAATGTGCACATTTGGGGTTTTCTCATACAAACTTTTTTCAATAAATGTCTGTTACTGCCTATTTGTTAAATATTCCAGTTAGGGCTGCCAACAGCTACACTGTAGTATACCATATGTGTGCTGGGAGAGTAGGGGAATTAAAAATGCAGTTTATGATTTTATAAATGTATATATACACACACACACACCCCTTCACAAAATAAAGCCTTCCTGAAGCTTGTTATTGTTCCTTGTTTTGTTTCTGCCTTGAAAATAGTCACTAAGGATGTTAATAATTTGTGACGCATCATCTTTAGTGCTTCTTTGCACCCACAGAAAGAGGCTATCGAGGGAGATGTGTTCAATATGTGCCCACCTATGCTCACTGCCACCCACTGTGGACAGTGGGCCCTGCAGTGTGTACCTGCTGGGGCTCGCCACTGTGCCCCCACTCTCAGGCCTCTGCTCACCTGCCGTTGCCAGTTTCAGCTTGTTCCATTCAAATCCCTCTGGACCTCTTCTCGGGAAAAGTACTGCTAATTCTGATAATTTATTAGGCACTATTATATACCAACCTACATAAAGTGCTTTAACCTCAACAGTGTGCTGGTAGGTATTTACGACAAGGCCCTCCAGGAGGAAAGCCCTGATTTATGGTGTTTGCCAATTTCCAGGGTGTACCTACAGCCCATTCTGCTAGAACATTTCTTCTGAAAATGAGGATTTGTTCCACTGTGATTGGTAAATTAGGGAACAATTTGAGTGTCATGTCAATGTCGGTTTGCTCAGGCACCATTTTGTTGCTCAGAAGCCAGGTGAATGCAGTAGGAAGGATGGATCTCACACATATGCATTTCATCAGGACAAGGAGCCACACCCACCCATGCCTGCTATCACTACTCTCTCTAGGATTTTAGATAACCCTTGTATTAGTCAGGGTGCTCCACAACCCTGGGGAGAAACAGAACCCAGAGAGAGGAAGGGAAATGGTGTGGTGGGGTGGGGGAGGCGAGAGAGAGAGAGAAAGAGAACTGAGTATATAGATTTATTGAACATGATATTTATGATGGGAATGGCTCATGCAATTACAGAGGCTAGCAAGTCCCATGATCTGTTGCCTACACACTGGAGAACTGATGCTGTAACTCAGTCTGAGTCCAAAAGCCTGAGAACCAGAGAGCCAGTGGTGTAAAATTCTTAAGTCTGAAGTCAAAGGTCTGAGAACCTGGGAAGCCACTGGCATAAATACAGAGTCCAAAGTTCTGAGAACCTAGAGAACCTGATGTTCTACGGCTGGAGAAGATGAATGTCTCAGATCACACAAAGATAATTCACTCAAATTCACCCTTCCTCCACCTTTTCATTCCATTGGAGACCTTAGTGAGTCAGGTGATGCCTGCCATATTGGTGAAGAAGGATCGTCTTTACTCAGTGTTTAAATTCAAATGCTAATTTCTTCTGGAAACGTCCTCACAGACCCATCCAGAAATAATGATTTTCCAGCGATCTGGACACCACCTAACCCAGTCAAGATAACACCTAAAATTATCCATCACACACTCCTCCCAGAAGTTCAAATCAACATGAGCTACAACCCTTCCCGCCACCAACCGGCTGCACGGCTCTGTGCTTTCCCTTCTGTATTAGCCTGTTCTCACACTGCTAATAAAGACATACCTAAGACTGGGTAATTTATAAAGGAAATCGGTTTAATTGACTCACAGTTCTGCATGGCTGGGGAAGCCTCAGGAAACTTACAGTCATGGTGAAAGGGGAAGCAAACACCTCTTTCTTCCCGTGGCAGCAGCAACGATAAGTGCTGAACATAAAGGGGGGAAATCCTCTCTTAAAATCATCAGATCTCGTGAGAACTCACTCACTATTGGGAGAACAGCATGAAGGTAACCACCCCCATAATTCAATTCCCTCCCACTGTCTCCCTCCCAGGACACTTGGGGATTATTCAAGGTGAGATTTGGGCGGGGACACAGCCAAACCATATCACCTTCTCTTTAATTTCTCCTCGTGTACCTCAGCTATTGTGTATCTTTCCTTTGGTTTTCTGTTCTTTTTCTCTTGGGAACTCTTTGATTCTCTTCCTCTTGCAGACATGGAAGTGGACATGGTGGGCCCCCAGGCATGGGACACTCACTTCAACAAGCAAACTTCAGGTCTTTCTCAAGGTGATCTTTTCAAAATGACATCTTTACTGTAGTATGTATGGATTTCTTAATGAGTTGAAATGTATAACTATGTGTGCTACCATTTTTACTGGGTTCCTCACCTTTTATTATTTGCCACTGATAAAGGTGAAGGCTGTGTCCTTAACCCCATTTTCCCATAAGCCCTGCAGTTTTTAATGTAGAAATACATACTTACATTAGAGCAGAACTAACTGCCTGTAGTATGCTGGGGCCCACTCACATTCACACACTCTTACTTGAAAGAGCTGGTTGGATTCCCAACTCTGTGTTTAGTGATGTCACATAAATACTGAAACTATGTCACTGTGCAAAGAAAAATTCTGGGAAAAAAAAGATCTTCTATACTTAAAGAGGATAAGGTCCTTTTATGAAAAGTCTGTGTGAAGTGAAAATCTTCTGTGCTCAGAAGACAAGGTGTCAATTTCTAGTTTTGCCAGCTGGTATGACCTTGAGCGTGGCATTGACCTTGGGTGTGAGAGCCAACTCATATTGGCCCCTGTGACTCCCCTCTCCTGGTGTTCACACCCTCCACGTTGTGCAAGGGGGTTGGTCTGTGTGACCAACAGAACAGCAGCAGAAGTGAGAGCATGTCACTTTGAGACCAGGCTCTAAAGTCATTGCAGCTTCTGACTTGGTTGCTTATTTGCTCCTTGGGCCACCTGCTTTGGGGAGGGCCAGCCTCCACATTGAGTGTGTCTCCTGACAACAGCCATGTGCCATGAACCACCTTAGAAGCAGTTCTTCCAGCCCCAGTAAAACTTCAGATGATGTAACTACAGCCAGCATCTGGACTGGAATCTCATAAGAGACTCTGAGACACAGCCATACAGCTAAGCCACTCTTGATTTCCTAACCCTCAGAAACTATGACAAACAATATATACTTGTTTGTTTAAGCCAGTAAATTTTGGGGTAATTGGTTGCTATGGTCTTCATCTTTGTGTCCCCCCACCCCAATTTATATACTTAAATCCTAAACTCCAAGGTGATAGTATTAGAAGGTGGGGCCTTTTGGGGGATAATCAGGTCATGAGGCTGTAGCCTTCATGAATGGGATTGGTGCCCTTATAAAAAAAACTCCATTGAGCTTGTTTGCCCATTCCACCATGTGAAAAGACAGCAGGGAGGTGCCACCTACAAACAAGGAAGAGAAACTGCCAGCACCTTGATCTTGGACTTCCCAGCCTGCAGGACTCTGAGAAATAAATTTCTGTTGTTTATAGTATTTGATTGTAGCAGCCTGACTAGACTAAGACATTTGCTATGGAGCAATAGATAACTAACAGAGTCACTAAGCCATCTAGTTCTCTATATACATATGGCGTACAGGTACAATAATGCTCGCTCTGTCTACTTCATAGAGAAATAATTAAACCAAGTGGGGAAATGTGTGTGATTGCATTTTAGCAGCTGTAAAAATGCTCTGCAGCCATAATGTGCTATTATTACATTTAAAGATATCATTTAGTTGATTGTTTCCTTTGCTGTGCAGAAGTTTTTTAGTTTGAAGCAATCCCATTTGTCTATTTTTGCTTTTGTTGCCTGTGCTTCTGGGGTCACAACCAAAAAATATCATTGCCTAGACCAATATCATACATCTTTTCCCCTACATTGGTCAAAGCTTAGGAAGGTTCAATGAGACAGAAGGAATAAGCTAAAGAGAGCTATTGCAAAACATGGTGACTATAGTTAATAAGAATATATTGTTGGCTGGGCGCGGTGGCTCACGCCTGTAATCCCAGCACTGTGGGAGGTCAAGGCGGGTGGATCATGATGTCAGGAGATCGAGACCATCCTGGCCAACACAGTGAAACCCGCTCTCTACTAAAAATACAAAACATTAGCCGGGTGTGCTGGCGCGCACCTGTAGTCCCAGCTACTCAGGAGCCTGAGGCAGGAGAATGGCGTGAACCCGGGAGGCAGAACTTGCAGTGAGCCAAGATCACGCCACTGTACTCCAGCCTGGGTGACAGAATGAGACTCCGTCTCAAAAAAAAAAAAAAGAATATATTGTCTTCTTTAAAAATGCTAAGAGTAGATTTTAAGTATTTTCACCACAAAATGACAACTCTGTGAGGTTATGCATACGTTAATTAGCTTGATTTAGCCATTCCACAATGTATATATATTTCAAAACATCATGTTGCACATAATAAATACATAAAATTACCTGGCTATTTTAAAAACTAATAAATATATCATTCAGGCCTTACTACATGACTTTCACATGATCAGAAATTTAAAAATTAAAATACCATGTCTCTACCATCCAGA